GCATGTCACAGCGTAAGCACACTTTACCTTACTAGACATTCCCAACTTGCTCTTCCAACTGGCTGTAAATTTTTGTGAATTATTAATAGATGGGTGTGAAATGATGTTTCATTGTGACTTCAGTTGGCATTTTCCTCAGTTACTAGTTAAATCTTTCATCGTAATGGCCGTTGTGTTTCCTTCTTTCGTGAAAGATCTGTTCATAGCCTTTGCTCATCTTTGTATTGGGTTATTTTTCCTTTTCTGAATAATTTTCAAGAGTTCTTTATTCTAGACACCAATCCTTTGTCAGTTGTGTATGTTGTAAGAATCTCCTCTTAGTCTATCTTGTGACTTTTCTTTTTACTTTATGGTATGTTGTTGAACAGAGTTTTTGTTTTAATATAGTCAAATCTTACCAATCCTGAGGTTTTTTAATTCTGAGAAGTATAAAGAAGCAAACAGAAATCCTACCATCCTGACGATCCATTAACATAGAAATAAATACATGAAAGCGATATACACAAAGGGTAGAAAATGGACATTGTCAGGAAATTCTATAAAGAGAAAGAAAAGCTATACACCTCCTCCTAAAAAACAAGTGACCACTGTTAAATCTCTTAGGTATCTTCCCGCAATAGCATTTATACGTATCCTTTAAAATAACACAAGAGGAATACTTTTAACACTGTTCTGTGCCCTTTTGTTTTTTTCCACATGACTATTTTTGTAAGAGCACATCAGATTTTCTATGCACATAAATATCTTCTGGTTGGATGGAAGCTATGTGCTTTTCAAAAATTACCTTTGATATGGCTTAAATGCTTTCAAAGGTTGTGAGAAAGCATCACAGTTGTCTGAAAAGTGGAAAAGTGATGGTTATGGTCAGGAATTCCCCATTTTGGAACTTTGGTGCACTTGAAGTGCCAGGTGGTGGACTCCCCCTCCTCTCCCATTTTACCTGGAGGGCTGGAGACACATTAAGGGCCTGCACGGCCCCACGTATTGTCCTCGGTGAACTTGCTAGGTGTCCTAGGAAGGCAATATTAAAACTACCTTCTACGGCAGCTGCAGGAAATCTGGTTTGGTTTTAGCCCAGCCTTCTGGGACCGGCAGTGTACTGCCTTGGCAATAGTCCTAACAAAACAGGCATGGAGAGTGATAACAGAAGAGAGCTGATAACCCTTAAAGGTCGTTTCCCCTTTATTTGTCTTGTCATACGTGAGATATACATGAGTAGGAATGGCAAACATTATGTTCACCAATATGAAAAAGTAAAGCAGTGTTAAGATAGTAATATTACTCCAATTCTTGTAGCTGGCCAATTATTGAATTTACTTTTCATTTCTGTCACAGTTAAGTACATATTCTTGAGCCAGCCAATGAAGCTGAACAAGTGTCAGCATTTCCTAGCTGAAAGCACAATTGTCTGTCTCAAAGATCCAATATAAAGAATCAATTGTACAAGGTCCTTACTGTAAGGATTCCTGGGCCATGGGACTTGACTATGGGTGTTAACTTTTTACTCTTACAATCCTTTTAATACATCCTGTTGGAGGCTGGGCGCGGTGGCTCACGCCTGTAATCCTAGCACTCTGGGAGGCTGAGGCGGGCGGATCGT